TGTGTGTGTGTATATATGTGTACAGGTGGCATGTAAGTTTATAATAATGTAAAGGGTGATTTCTGCATCAAGCCCTGGTTATCACTTGCCAATGTTTCGACATTTTGCTGAAAAGAAACAAAAATGAAGGGTGATGAGAAGGAAACACCAATTCCAAACACAAAGTCTAGAATGCAGTGAAGGGAGCCGTGAGTCACCTTTGACAAAAGCTAAGTGAGAGTCCTGAGTAAAGCTTTCATGTGGTAATACGATACAAATGGATCAAAAAGAAACTATTTTCTCAAGTGTACGCTAGAGTCATTTTATAATATAAGTAATTTTCCCAGTCTAAGTAGTTCATTTTTCAAGTGCAGACTATGTCAGAAACCAGCACAAGGTGTACACACTGCACTAGCCGAAGCTCGGTAGCAGGATTTTCTGGTCGTTTCTAGGAGACACCTTAACAGAGCTGGGTAACGCAGAAACTTCTATCCCATGCTCTTTTTGTTGTGAACATTAGGCTTCCTATTATTTGTTTCTTTTTTTTTTTCCTTCAACCAAAAATTCCTTGATTCCCCTTCTTGGTTCGGGTTTTTCCTTTTTTTTATACAGACCGCCTGCAACTGAGTTTCTTAAAAGATGGGAGGGTGGCATTCAAAACTGTGGATTTATGGGCTTTATTCAAATTTAATGAACCAAAAATGGGAGGCAGAGAGCATTGGAATTTGCAGTTAAAAAAACTCTCCAGATGGCTCTTATGCAAACCAAATTTAAAAAATCCACACCTTGTAGTCAACATTTCATTACAAATACAACCCAGACGTGTCTGTATTTGTTCAAATTTGAACTTCTGGGAACATGCAGACAAGCACTTTAATAAGGGACAGATACACATCTGAGAAATTAATAAACGCATGAATGAATCAGTGAACTAACTGAAAGTTGAAAGCCGAGGCAACACTCACCAAGATTTTGGTCTTATATAAAGTCACCATTCACTATATTCACCTTTCTCTCAAAGCCCAAGAGGTCAAGGTAGTTAGAAAGCATTAGCCACTATTTCTCACACTGACGGCCACAATAGAAAAAAATAAATTTTTTCCTTGGGTCCACATGGCTCCCGAGACACCCCAAGACAAAAGTATGTGTGAGTTATACATGCTTCATGAGGCTCCGGGCCTCAAACTAGCATGAGTTAAATGCAATTTACATGGCAGTTAATGTGTTTTAATATGAACCAGTATTGTTCACATAGCAGGTGCATGATCTTCAATAAATCAAAGAGTGTACTTGAAAGGATTTTTCTGAAACATTGTCATGGTAATCTGGGGAGGCCTGCACAGTATGATTCACTATTTGACTCCTCAGGCGACACTTCAACCTGAACTTACGTGGCATTTGTGCTGGCAGTGATGGCAATGAAACAAGCTGAAGTTAGAATGCCAAACTACTGGCGATAGCTCTAGAGTGGGGGCATCTCATACACCTGCTATAGTCAAACATATGGTGTCATGGAAGAAAATATTACTTAGCATGTGTAAGATATCTTCATGTATATTTATGAGGTCTCAGTTTTTGTAATTGTACTAATTCATTTAGTGAACACTTACAACTTATATGTGCAAATATTCTATAATGTTTGGTTACTTGTGCTCATCAATTGCCAGTATGGTGTATAATTACTAGTATTTTCTTAGGATATTTACAGATGCAAACTAGTAAACATGAGATGAACTTTAAGATGCTTCATTCAATCGCATCTACATTTAGAGAGCTCTAACTTCGGTGGTGCTTAAAATTGTTATATCTCAAAATCTCACAAATTTGAATATTTTCATCTCTAAAAGGTGCTAGTACCATATCAATATTCTTGTATTAGTCTGGTGGCGCCCTAGATCAGTGGTTAG